ACAAATACACATACAAACACACACACACAAACACACACACACACAAAGTGTTATTACTCTTTTAATGTGTTGCTGAATTCTATTACACCTGTGTATGACATTTGTTAATGTGGTGGCTCTCAAGGCTTTCCCTTCTTGTCCCGTCTTTATCAAGTTTGATGCTAGTGCTATGCTAGGTTGGTTAAAGGAATTTGGAAGAAATTTGAGTGTGTGTGTTCCCAAATAATTTGAATAATCCTAAAGCTTTTTGTTCCCTGAGTGCTTTTTCCCCCAGTGACATTAATCTGGGAGATCATATGAAATTGAAATATCGTAAGGTGGTAACTCTGAAAATTCGTCTTCTTTTCAGTTATTTTGAGTTTTCTTTTCTTCTTTTTGCCATTTCTTCCTTAACTGACTAACTAGGTCACTTCATTATCTTTAGAATGTGTTCTCCCAAAGTTTTCCGGTGTTTTTGGTTGTTGTTCCCGAGTATGGGAAGAATTATTCTTATAAAATTCGAACTTTTCTTTGCAGTGATAACCTGTGTCTAACTAGAGGCTAGTAATGAAACAGGGGCCCTTGAGGGTGAGCATGAAGGGTCAGCAGAGCGGAGCGCGCCCACCCCCCCCCCCAACCCCCATCTCTCACATTGTGTCTCCAATCCCTGCACTCCCTGGTTCAACTGAAGCAGAGAAACCTTAAATTTGGAGTTTTCCATAAAACTTCCCTCTGGGGACTGACTTCTAGGAAGAAAAAAAAAAAAAAAAAACAATAACAACAGCAGCAGAACCACTGACCTGGAGCCGAGGCGTTGGCTGGGTTTTCAGTGTGTCCTGTTTATGCTAAACTGGGTGATTCTGGCACAGGTGGAGGGGTTGCTGTTAGAGCTGTCAGGGGGAGACTTGGAATCTGAACAGCCATCCCACAGAAGAGACCGGGTGTCTGCTGTGTAGAACGAGGACAGGACGGCCACTGCTGGAGGGCACAGGAGGACTGGGGGTGGGCACGAATGGAACAGCTAGAATCTGGAAACACTTGAGTTGCCCCTCTCGGGAGGTGTGGAGCGATGCTGGCTGAGCTCTATGTGTTGTTTGTTACTTCGATGAACCTCGGCTAAATTTCACGCAAGGACTCTGTGAATGCCTGAATTTGGCTCGAATGGCCACTAGATGTCACACTTGCGCATCTGCAGTGGCAACAGTGTTTCAGCAGTCTGCAACAACCCTCAGCTTAATAGGCTGTTAAGAAAATAAAATTCTATTTTGAGAATATGCACCCTAAGCCAAGCACAGCAGTTCACACCAATCCCAGTACTTGGAAGGCAGAGGCAAGTGAATCTCTGTTAATCCAAGGCTAGACCGGTCTCACACTGAGACCCTGTCTTAAGAAAAAAAAAAAGTCCTAAAACTGAGCCAGGTGTCACATGCACTCTGGAGGTGGTGGCAGGAGGATCAGGAATTTGAGGTCATCCTTAACTAGCCTGGCCTACAATAAGACCTGTCTCTGAAGTGTGTGTGTGTACATATCCTTATTATAGGCTATTAATTCTTAATACATTTAAGAAGACTTACATATAATTTTAATAAAAAATTAAGATGTACTCTCTAAACTGAACTTTCTCAGTTTTCTTTTCTGTGTCTTCTGATCTTCTCAGAATTAAATGTGACTTCCCATAAATGGCCATGTCCCCGGCCAGAAGCACTTCAGAGCCTCTTCTTCATCCTGTGTCTACCGTTATTGACAGGAACTATTCTCACTCTACTCTGCTCAGCACAGGGCACCGAGCAGCGTTACAGCATCGCTAGTGAGCCCTGTGCTTTGTTGTTCCTGCCGTCTGCAAAGCACTTGCTTATGGGATCTGATCTACGTAAAATCAGGTGCTTAGGTGGTGGTCTGAACGAGAATGGCCTCTGTGGGCTCATCTGTTTGAATGCTTGGTCCTCAGTTAGAGGAACTGTGTTTTTGTTGGAGGAATGTGTCACTGAGATTTGAGATTTCAAAAAACCTATGCACCCCCTTCTTTCTCTCTCTCTCTCCCTGCTGCCTGTGGATCAGGATGTAAGCTTTCAGTTATTGCTCCAGCACCATGCCTGCCTTGTGTCCTTACATGGCACTCATGGACTCCCTCATCCTCTGAAACCATAAGCAAGCCTCCAAATAAAGTCCTTGTTGTGGTGTTTCATCACAGCCAGAGAACGGTGACTCAGCCATTGGTCCACAATGCTATATGTGAAGAAGAGCCAAGAGGGGTCAAGCTGTCTGTTCATGTGAGAAGTGAGTGAGAAGCCACTGTCCAGTGTCTGTTGTGCTGAACCACGGATGCTCAGGGGCTGCTACAGGCTTCTACCTTCCTGGACATTCACAGCGGACTCCTATCAAAGGGTGTGGAGAATTTCTGGTAAAGAACCCGTGGAAGTGTCGCTACAACATCCAGACATACTCAGTCACAACCGATTGACTCTCTCCTTCCTGTCTTTTTCTCTGTCTCCCTCTGTCCCCCTTCTTCTTCCTGACTTCTTTTTTTCAAAACATATGTATTTATTGGAATACAGACAATGTCAAATCCAAATTCTGTATTCCCTCTTTATGTTTCTTGTTTGTGTGTGTGGTGTGCACACATGCATATGTGTATACATATGCACGTGCATGCATGTGTGTGCATGTGTACACATGTAGAGTCCAAAAATTGACACCAGATGTCTTCCTCATGTATCCTCCATCTTACTCTGGCGGCAGGCTCTCTCACTCGAACCCAGAACACACGCACACTGCTTTGACTAGTCTAGCTAACCAGTGTTCCCGGACCCCTCTGTCTCTGTCTCTGGTGTGGGACCAGGCAGGATCCAGCTTCAGTCTTCATGCTTGCACGGTTGGTGTTTTTGAGGGCTGAGCCTTCTCCCCAGCTTCTTTTCATTTTAAGACAGACTTCACTACGAGCCCAGACCGGCTCCAGGTCACAATCCTCCTGCTTCAGTCTCCAGAGTACAGGTGTATACCAGCACACTTAGCTTAAACTTAATTTACGAGCACTGTTTCATAATCTGCCATGCATGGTGAAAGAGTAACTCAGTTCTGTTGTGTGAAAACGACATCAAGCTGTCAGATAGATTCTCTCCAGACGCCCACTACATGAGGAGCTTCTTAGCCCTTCCTAAAAGCAAAACCCGGTAGGTGAACATCTTAGAGGGAATTTCTGTTTCCTCTTTATTCTCACTCCCCATGAGAGTAGGGGTGACCCTGTGGCTGTGCGAGCCAGGCTCACATCCCCCTAATAAGTTTATAGCTTTAGTACAACAAGGGCCTCTCAGCCTCATTGTGTTAATGGATGCTGTCTAAGTGGCTTTAGTGTGTATTTAGAATGTCTTTAGTGAAGTACATTAGAATAGTTTTTAAGTCTGATGCCTGATTAAGTTGTTAAACATGTGAGACTCAGGAGACAGCCTTTGAAAAGTTCAGTGTTGACTGAAGGCTGAGAGACTATTCTGATTGCCCCATCTTGGCTTTTGAATGGCAGCTGCTCCTATCCTTTCTTTTCTGTGCGTGGCAACCATAGGGGACCTTGCCACCACCACTGGGTAAAATGTTTCTTGAATATGAAGGTCCTCTCAGCAGTCAGAACCCCATAGAAGAGGAAGGTGAGCTTGTCTGCAAGGTCCTGCTTGTCTGCCCCCAGGGGGTCCTTGGACTTGGGCTTCCCGTACATGAAGAGGATGGTCCCATAGAAGACGATGACCACAGTGAGGTGGGCAGAGCAGGTGGAGAAGGCCTTCCTCCTCCCCTCAGCGGAGGGGATCCTCAGGATGGTGGTGAGTGTGAAGACGAACAGAACCCGGACCCCCAGGAAGCTCACATTGGCCACGCCCATGCTGATCACATTGATTGAAATGTCAGCACAGACCAACTTCAGGACAGTCAGGATCTTGCAGTTGAAGTGGTTCATGACAGAACAGTGCCACCAAGATCCAGGAGACATGAGGCAGCTCTGTTTGTTATCTCAGGTTAGCAGACAGCCAGGTAGTGACCAAACGCCATGGTGCTTAAGAGCCACACCCAGAGAAAGGGTCACCTGCACAGGATGAACCGAGAAGGATGCCTTCTCCAGTGGTCAGAAAGCAGCCCTGGACCAGAGAGACTGGGAGGTCGTGTAACAGATGTCCCCATGAGAGTCCTGGGAATTGAACTCAGGTTGTCAGGCTTGGTGGCAAGTGCCTTTCCCTGATGAGCCATATTATTGGCCCTTTTCAGTATTTTTCTCTTTTGCAGTATTTCCTGGATCTGACGCCATGAGGAGACTGTGATATGACAGACAGAGCAGATGTCAGGATGATGTCATGAGGAGTCTGTGATATGACAGACAGAGCAGATGTCAGGGTGACGTCATGAGGAGACTGTGATATGACAGACAGAGCAGATGTCAGGGTGACGTCATGAGGAGACTGTGATATGACAGACAGGGCAGATGTCAGGATGACGTCATGAGGAGTCTGTGATATGACAGACAGAGCAGATGTCAGGGTGACGTCATGAGGAGACTGTGATATGACAGACAGGGCAGATGTCAGGATCTGACATCATGAGGAGATTGTGATATGACAAACAGGGCAGATGTCAGGACATACAGGGGTTTTGTCACCAAGCAAGCTACCTTCACTACACTGATGCTTCCAACTTTGGCAAGGACTATTTTCTTTATTCAAGTTTCTTACTTTAAAAAAGTAAAAAGCTGAGTGGTGGTGGTGCACACCTTTAATCCCAGCACTCGGGAGGCAGAAGCAGGCCGATCTCTGTGAGTTTGAGGCCAGCCTGGTCTACAAGAGCTAGTTCCAGGACAGGCTCCAAAACTACAGAGAACTCCTGTCTCAACCCCCTCCCCCAAAAGTCATAAATTGGATGGGGAGGGCCTCATATAACCCCACTCCCAGCTGGGGAGCTTTGGGCAATTAATGGATAGTGGGGAGGGGGAGTCATTTTTCTTCAGGGATGTAGCCCCTAGTAAGTTAACCATGACCCAAGAAACAGCCTCACATCCATGTACATCCCAGTAACTCTCACTAAATTTGGTGGGTTATTAAAACAAGCAAAGACAGCGGGCCTGGGTGCACAGGGACACTGAGACAGGATAAAAATTCAAGGCCAGCCTGAGCTACATAACAAGGTGCCGTGCTAAGCAAGCACTCTATCACTGAGCTAACCCCCCAAGTCTGCTTTTTCTTTCATGAATATTTGTCTTCCATCCACCAGCTTTCAGGGCAAGGTGCTCAGTTCTTACACTAGTTCTAAATTCTGGGGCAGAAGTATGGTGGAATCTCGCCCACGGTCTCTTTTGTACCTCCCGTCTTTTGTTCAGCAAGTTAAATCTCTTCATGTTTTTCCCTCTGAAGACCTTTGAGTTGACTTATAATTAGAGAATTTGTTTTGGGGCTGGCAGGATGGCTCAGCTCGTTCAGGGGCTTGCCACCAAGTCTGATGACCTGAGTTTGCTCCCGGGGGCCCACATGGTCGAAGGAGAGAACAGGCTTCTCAAGCTGTCCTCTGACCTACACACACACACACACACACACACACACACACACACACACCATGGCACGTATGTACCCCTGGGGGAGGTAATAAAAAGAACACTTTGTAACAAAGCAAGAATTTATCTTTGTGTTGTCTCCCTACTTTTCTACTGGAAACTATTGATTTCGATTTGGTAAAAATAATGCCTGCTGACTCCCATTAAAACGTTCATATCATCCATTCATATGTTCTGGTAGACTGTTTTGTTATTTTGTTGTTAACGGGGTCTTGCTGTGTAGCCAGGCTGGCCTTGGCTTTCATGCTTGCTGTGTTCCTTCTGTCTCTGCCTCCTGAGTGCTGGGATTACAGGTGTGTGCCCTCACCCAGTTCCTCTTAAGAGACATCCTCTTAATTCCACGAAAATATCATGGGCAAGACAATGGCAAAGCCCTTAAGTTCTCTCTCTTATGTGTGCCCGTATGTCTCTGTGTGTGTCTGTGTATGTGCGTGTGTGTCTGTGTGTTTGTGTGTGTGTGCATCTGTGTGTGTGTCTGTGTGTGTGCATTACTCTCTCTTTTCCTTTTTTGAAGACCACTTATTTGATCCTTAGTTTTGTCCTTTCCCTTTGGATTGATGTCAGTATTCTGATTATCTCAGTTTGCATTTTATTCTAGTGACTCATAAGAGATGTTCACTGCTATCTAGGGACAAAGCTAGGAATAAATAAATTATATATATATATATATAAACAAATAAAACCTTCAAAAAAGAAAAAATATGAGTTGTTTTCTTTTAACCTGGTATCAGTTTGTCAAGGCTTCCCCTACTCTCCTATTTGTAATTTGAGGGAACAATGACTTCTGGTAAGGATCTTGATACAGGACAAGAGCTTAATTATGAACACACAGGAAGAGAACAATCCAGAAGACATTTATTAAGCATTTGCATTACTGCAGATAAAGATAGCTGTCACCAGGTTCTGTGCTGTGTGGGATATCAAAGGACAACTTAATGTAAACGTAAAGACACAGGTTGGAGGCAGGAAGATCCTGATTTGAGACTAGCCTCAACTTCACCGTGAGATTCTGTCCTCCCAAAGAAAGGAAGGAAGGAGGGAGGGAAGAAGGAAGGGAGGCAGAAACTCATCAACTATGGCCAATATTTGCAGAGAATCCGAGGAGTGGAAGTGGAAATCTCGAGCTAGCATCTTGCTGACTGCACAGTCATCTTTTCTTGACCTCTATATTGCTAGAATTCATGAACAAGCCTGAGGCGTGGGGCTGCAGACACGACTCAGTGGTTAAGAGCACTTACTGTCCTTGCTAGGACCTGTTTCAGTTCCCAGTACCCATATGGCAGTCACAGTCACCTGTCACTCCAGCCCTGGGGATGGAGAGATCTGACACCCTCTTCTGGCCTCTGTGTATTCCTTCACACGTGTGGTGCACATAAACTCTCACACGAACACATCAATAATATTTTAAAAAGCTTTAAAAGCGATGTGTGACACCAGGAGTGTTCAGTGAAATGGTTATGCACATTTGGGGAATACTTCTAGGACAAGATGGGAGAATTGCCATTGAAATCTTCCCCTTCATCAGAGCCCTTCTGTGTACTAGGATTTATTGTACATCCTTGTCGAAGAATTATACAGGAACCATGCAGCCCCTTCCCCATCATTGCTTTAAGTGCTTCTGAATCACCAGGTTCCTCACAGCAGCCCTCACATCCTTGTTCCTTAGGCTGTAGATGATGGGGTTCAGCATGGGGGTCAACACCCCATAAAATAAGGAGATGAGTTTGTCTGAAACATCCTGTTTGTCTGCCCCCTGTGGGTCCTTGGACTTGGGCTTCCCGTACATGAAGAGGATGGTCCCATAGAAGACAATGACCACAGTGAGGTGGGCAGAGCAGGTGGAGAAGGCCTTCCTCCTCCCCTCGGCGGAGGGGATCCTCAGGATGGTCACGAGGATGAAGACATAGGAGACAAAAATGAAGAGCACTGGGAGTCCCAAAAACATCACATTAGCCACCCCCATGCTGATGACATTGATGGTGATGTCGGCGCAGGCCAGTTTTAGGACAGCCAGGATCTCACAGGTGAAGTGATTGATGACATTGTCCCCACAGAAAGGCAGCCGCATTGCCAAAGATGTCTGCACTGTGGCTGTGATAATTCCAGACACCCAGGAACTGATGGCCATAGACATGTAGAGAGCCTTGCTCATGATCACTGGGTACCTAAGGGGGTTGCAGATGGCCACATAGCGATCAAACGCCATCATACTCAGGAGCACACACTCTGTGGCTCCCATGGCAAAGGAGAGAAACATCTGCACCGCACAGGCTGA